TCGAAGTTCTCCTCGTGCCAGAGCTACGACAGCATCGTGCCTGCGCCTCATAAATACAATTCAGTTTCAGGGGCTGAGAAGGAAACAGCGACTTTTATGATAGCGTTATCATGGCAGTGCAGCGATGAGATCCAAGGAGAGCAGAGATTTTTGACTTTTTTGATCCATCTAAATGTTCCTCAATGGCGAAAACTTAGAAGCCGTCCCGTTTCGCTTATGCAGGTGCCCCCGCAGGTTCGCATCCTACTAAATAGATAACCCCGAAAATCATGCAGTCCCCTCTTTATTGTATGGACAGACTACGCAGTTATTAGTCGTGCACAATCGATCATAGCGGCGATTGCGTAGTGATTGTTGTCTGAAGTTTGGAGGAGGTATATCTCCTGTCCTTACCATATCTTGTAATCCTGCATGATTTAAGCTCTTACAAACAGCCCAGCTTACTTGTCAGAGATGTAGGGTAGAGAATGAAATTTTTGCGTTTAAAGGTGCTTATCTACCGGCAGTAACTACATAAAATCTGCATAGCTCTACTAGAGGATATCTATTAGGCCCCGGTCAGACTTCACGCGACTTAATCGTCGCGATCTAATCGCCAAGATTTCCATTCATTTTCATTTCACATTCAAAAATTTCGGGCTGGAAAAGTAACGCAACCGAATGCAAGTTGATCGGCATGGAATGATGTTGTAACAGTTGTCTCCTCGCGATTCAGTTGCGACGATCAAATCGCGTGAAGTCTGCCCGGGGCCTTAGGCTGTCCCATGATTATTTACCGTTTTTACTTCGACGGTCGTCTTTTTATATCTTTCATCCAAATGATGCTGCTTGAGTAAGTGTTTGATAGGGCAAAGCAAGCTCTACAAAATGGCTATCAAGAGTCTGCACAAACCGCAATCTACGTAAAGTTTTGAGCTGAAATATGATAGCAGTCAAAAATGGAGTTTCCTATAAAAAATCGTATCTCCGCCCCAAAACGTCTTCAAAATTCCCCATTTGTTCCAGCGTATGCTTGACACATCGCACATTTAATTGTGCTATTTCCGTGTTTTTTCCATGGCTAGAAATAAAGAGAAAATTAAATGGAGTAAAATGGCAAACTCCGCTCCTAGAAGTCCTGAGCTCCTCCCACACAAGTGATCATATAGCTCATACATACAGAAGTACGATCGTGTATTTGGAAATTTTGAAGGTGTCCCAATTCTTGAGAAATGCTGATGTTTAAGGTAAAAACGGTAAATAATTATGGGACAACCCAATATTACTATTCTACATGTCTGCCATTTTCGACAATTTCTCGCCATCTTGTAGAACTACCCACTACACCATAGCGTGCCGACGAATTTGCATTTCGAACGTATTTTTCTTGAACACCTGGCGCAAAAATAGAAAAATATGTAGAGAACAGCCAAGCATTTTTGACAAAAACGGAAAATTACTGTTTCGATTCCGAACCAATAAGATAAGCGAATATTTTCTTGGATGCTGGATGTGGAGAGTATATGCATGAAGAGGTTATTCTCAGTGAAAATACAATTTTTTCTCGATTGATAGGGGACGATACCGATGTGAGATGGCACCTTTTAAGATGGCATGTACAACATCACACTTGCCTTGGAACGCTGATTACAAATTTGGCTTCCTCTTCTGCTAATCTTTCTTTTGAAAGAAGTTATGAAGGGTTTTCGCGCCAATTGGCCAAGAGAAATAGTTCACGGGGAAATACGGTTGGAAAGCAATACCGCCGGGACGCTGTGGTGTATTGGTTAGGGCGTAGCCTCGCAAGGTGATGCAAATGCAGGTTTCTTCAGCATTTAATTGCTTTTCCAATGCCTTAATTGAGCTTTTCGAAATTAGGCATCCTTGAGATAAAGGCATGCCCCGCTTTTTGAAAATTTGGCGAGAAATTTGAATTATCTAACAACCTCTGTTATGAAAATATGCACTGAAAATAACTAAATAAATTACCAATTCTTTTGAAATTCAACGCCTACAAAGCAAGTAGCCACTTTACTCTCTGGTTCATCTCCATCGGTGCCTTTGCAAACCACGAGGGGTCCATGTGTAAGCTATTCGTAACCTCACATTTATCACTTTCGACCTCGAGGCTACCGTAAGCTGTCGTGAGATTGTTACAAATCTATCTATTAAATTCCCGCTCCTTCATGTTAGAAGTGCATGTCACATCACATGGTACGTACTTCAGTACATGCAAAATCACTTTCGGACGAAATATTCCGCAAAATGTGCTCGTGACACTGCTAGTTAGAGTATCGATCAAAAAGGTCATGCGTCACCTTGTGCATGAGTCAATTATTAAGGCTTGTTTCTTTCGTTCAAGTAAATGTTCTCTAGTATGATCAATGGATAAATTTTAGCAGTGATTAATATTCCGTAATTTCTACATTTGAAAGTAATGCATTTACTTCGAGAATGTCTAATCTTTCAGAAACTTGATTGCAATATGGAAGATAGATTTGAAACCAGCATTCTATGCTGCATCAAATTTTATGCAGCTTGTATAGATTGGCCACTTCGACTTCCAATCATTCCTTGTTAGGTGCGTTCATACTGATCCCAAAGTCCGGGAATTTCAGCACAGTGCTCGAACTGAGGGCTGTGCTGGAACTGTTTCCGGACTTTGGGATCAGTATGAACGCAGCCTTACACCTGCATTCGTGATACTATCGCACTAACACTACACCACAGCTTGCCGACGTATTTGCTTTCCCAAAGGATTTTCTTGAGCAGCTTGACGCGAAAATACTTCATAACTTTTTTCAGGGATATGATTAGCATAAAGGAAGACAGATTTGAAATCAGCGTTCCAAGGCAATTGTGAGGATATACACATCCGGAAGGCAACGGACACCGAGTATCGTCCTCTTGAAGCATTTAGAACGTCTCAGATTTTGGCTTCAAATTTTAAATGGAAGGTTGCGGTGCTCTTTTGTAGAGCTTGCTTTACTCCACCTATTGAAAGGCACCGTGAAACCCGTACAGTGGTCAAGAACCATATAACATTTTGTGGGGAAAAAGTAATAACGAAAAAGACTTTCGAGACAACCTAAAATTTTCGTTCTTTATTGCAATATCTTAACTAAATGGCGAACTTGCATGAGTTGACCTGGGTTTAAGTTCTACTTTTTCCTTCCTGCCCTGTCTATTGGTTACAGGTAATGATAAATAGAAATATACGTTGCTGTGAGTACCTGACCTCTTTCAAGCAAACCTAGTGACAGGTAAATTCCATCGAAAAGAAGATCGATTTTAAAAGTTGATGTACAAAAATTAGCAATTTGGTACTATCACAGTTTCCAAGATGACATGCCTCTCCTAACTTATCCACAAGTCACGTAGAGCATTGACAGACGAACCTTCAAACCGTATTGTAAGCAGCTTTCTTCGTTATTCCGCCACCTACATTCTAAAGTGGTTCTCAGCAATCCTCAAACAATAAGCAAACTTTGAGTTTAATGTTTCTATCTTGTCACTTTACTCAAACTCATTCTGCTCCTCGCCACGGCAATATTATTCAAAAGCTTTATCTTTTACTTCCATCTAACATTTTTGAAAACTACAGAACGTCCCAAAAATCGCCGACGTTCAATTGTAATGCCTCAGCTCTTCAGCTTTCTTATATTACTCGATAGTTGATTATCCCCAAATATTACGAATTTATCTATATAGAGAGAGCAAAGTCAAATATCAGCAATAAGCCAGAGGCAGGCATAGCCAGTGCTTCAGCAGCAGAGCGCTCATCCCGCTCATTCCACAGCAAAAGGGAGCGTTCCGATCCCGACGAAAATCCCGAATTCCAAGTTTTCGGCGTTTCTGACTTTTTCGATGTCCATAACAAATCCGAACTGAAAATTGCTTAAAATCCCCGAAAACCCATTTCTGGGACTCGTTTTTGCAAAGAGTATTCCAACGCTAATTTGTTGCGGCGCAACGTGAGGACATGTTTCACAGACAGCGATTTGCAACGCGAAAGAGGCGTGCGCGATCTTAAGCTCGTTTCCTACAGGTGTAGAAGTGAAAGGTGGAAGAGTAGCGACGCTTAGCCGGCGCTCATTTAGCTTTAAGAGTTCACATTTTCGAAGCGGACTTGCTGTTTTAGTTTTGTTGACGGAGGCTCTATCGAACTGTGTTGACATCTGAGGCAGGTCAATTTTGTCGGACGCTGCCTATAAAGGCAACGTCCGGGCAAGAAGTTGATTTCGAGATTTTGTGCTCACCCGGACCTATTCGCTATGCTTCCGAAAATCCACGTTGGAGAGCGCGAAAACGGTGAAAAGGTTTCTAACGCAGGAGGGAACTGAGCAGGTGGTCGGGATCTTCCTGACTATAAACTTACGCTCTCCCAGCTTCCGGAGCGATCTTCTAAATTCCGCTGACCGCCCTGACATTGCCACCGGTCAGGTGCGAATGCGCGATTTGCACCGAGAAGATCGCTTCGGAAGTTGGGAGCAGAATTCACAGTGGGAAGACGCCCACCTGCTGGTTTTTTTCCTGCGTTAATTCTCTTTCGCCGCTTTCGCGCTCCACGTGGATTTTCGGATTCAGGATAGCAAGTCTCTGGTAAGTACAGATCTCAGATCGAATTTTTGCCTGGACACTGCCTTCAAAGACGTAGGGAGAGGGCTGTGAGAAAAGCCTGTTCTGCTGTTCTCGTGCCTTCTAACGGCCAGGCTCAAAAAATCAAGCAACCTAAAACAAGCTCGACAAAAAGCTAAAAGCTCGACAATGCCTTCCATTTGCATTGCTTTGCTATGTCATAACTTTTGCTCAAAGCACACCAAATAGCTTTCTTCTGCCCAAAACACGTCAATTTAAATGAATCTTAAGGAATGGGAGTCATTTGTTTTAATTGTTAAAATTTTTGATGCAAGACTCTGGAAAAATAGAAGGCAATGTAAGGCAGCCATTTTAACGTTGACCCATAAAAACGGTCTAAAGATCTCTACGATATGCTGGTAAATCAGTATGATATTACTCACCTTCCTAAGTGAGTGCAAGCACATTCAGTCTTTTCCCAGCTTGTTGAAATAAGCCGGCAGCCTTTGACGCTCAACATTCTAAAACAACGACTCAAACTGAACAACTAAAATCTTTTACTTACCTCGTATCAAAGTTCAGAGATATGCAGGTTGGATTTACAAGTCTTCTCCGTAGGTGAAAGAAAGTCAAAGTGATTGGCTGATCATGAAGAAGGCTGAAACGGCACAAACGGAATAGCCCTTTCGCATGTTGATTGACTTTACTTTATACTCTTGGTGCCATCACCAACGTATACGCAAGCGATGTGACTATTCACCATAGTGAACTTATTCACATAAAGTAGCTGACCGAGGTTTTTGAAAACGAGGTAGCTTAGACGTAGGTGAGTGTACGAGGATGCTGCGCCGGTCTTCTAAAAAAGATATACTTCTAGCGCCAGGAATTAACTACACTTGCTTTGCAAGAATCAGTTTTCAAATATTTAACGTGGATTTGGTTCACTTCCACTCATTTGGGGTATCGAATAACGTACATATCTGCACTGTTGCTTTTGAATTAGAGGAAGATGCAACCAGACCTACGATAATGATCTGAACTGCACTGCCACAGTGAAATGCATTCTAACTTTTTCTGTGTGGTTTCGATTTAAAAAAAATATAAACTGTCTACCGATCCTACACGGGAAACTGCCGAAACGGGTGCTGATGATTCGTTTGTGGATGACTCTGTAGTATCTGAGAATGACGATTTTCCATGAATGAGTGAATTAGCACTTCTTACCCAGATGGCTCAATGGCGGTAATTCGATAATTGGTGACTCAGAAAATCCGCTGAACTCCACTCTAGGAGCGCGAGAAGGTGTAGCTGTTGTGCTTAATCACAAGTCAAAATGGATTCACCAGGAATCGTACGAATCGCAATTTAGATTACCTATTTCCAGCAAGTTCTTCAAGTTGACCACTAGGCGTTAACGGCACAGCATTTATTTTTCCTTTGACAGAAGGTCCTAAGGAAGTAATATCTGCCGCCAAGTCTGTAGAGTCCTTTCGTGACGTGTCCTCCCATTGAATAAAATCAATCTTCATGGCTGAAAATGGTTGAACAGAAATTTTCCACAATCCTCCCCCACAAACTCTTTGATTATTGACTGACTGAAACCAGGATCCTTCACGCCTCCCTATACTTGCCTCAAGATTGTCCGTTTCATCGTTGTAGTTCAAACCTTTGAAACCTGGTGATGGCAATTGCCATCATCGATTTAGAAAGCAGTAATACTGGCACAGTAGTAGATTTCTATCGATCAGTGCTGCGGTTAGCTTCAGACCACCTTCGCCATTAGTGGTCTGCAGCCCCCATTTTATCGTGCAGGTGAGTAACAAAAAACCAATAACGGTTGCAGCATCTGCTAAGAAAACGTCAGTGTTGCTAATGAGAAAACAGAGATTATGAGTTCGCGATTCTACCATTCTGAAACAAAAAAACAAAGAAAATTGGAAACGTCTTCTTGTCAAAAAGGCTCCAAACTTCGGTTGATATTCGGATGTTTTTTAGTCATAAAGTATAGGCAGGCAGTCTCTCTCATATTGGGGAAAAAGTCAGGTCTAAAGGGCTAATGAGCACTTTGAGAAGGTCGTGCAAAATGTGAATAAAGGAAAGACAGACAACTTTCAATAAATGGAAGACAGAAAATTGCCAATGCACACGAAGTGTGGAGGCAATTTCGTTGCTAAGGCAAAACGTAATGAAGGCTCGTTTTGATGGTTAGTAACTTCTTCACTAACTCCTTGCTCGGCCGCTCTCGCGAATCATTCTGTTAGATGACTTCAACTTGGAATTACAAATGGAGCCGACTACTTATCGCTTTTTATCAGTGTAAGTGGTAGTTTTCTGAGGAGGTAAAATATGGCTCCTAAGGACTGGAATCCCTGCTCAAAATAGCTACCGTAGCCCCACAACCCGGAGAAGAATCATTAATCTGCTCCATAGCGTAAATTCAAACTGACGCCGCCAGCTTTGCAGAACGGTCCCTTAACAGTGACGAAAGACATGACTAAGAGACTTAGTAATGACCAAAAGGGCATTTTTCTAAGATAATTTGTAGGTGCTCCACTTTTATATTTGTGCTGTCAAGCCAATTGTTTACTTGTGCAATGCAATTGAAGTTTGTGTTTTGTGAGGGGACGTTGAGGCATGTCAATCGTACCAAGTTGTCTTTAAAGCAGGTGAGCGTGTGACATGAGAGACGCGTGAATTATAGCAAGTTTTACGATATTATCTTTGCTTTCTGTCCAAAAAACGAACTAGTCTGTTTTCTTGTTATTTGCACTGGGCCTCGATGTTCACAACGCCTAAATCCCTTTTGTGCTAAAGGATGAGCTTGTGGAAGATCCATAGGTAGATGCCAGAGTACGCGATTACCTGCTTCAGCGCAAAAGGCCCACACAATTAATGTCCGCTGCTTAATGTCTGGGCCTGCTTCAGCTGCGGGTCCCGCGCAGAATCAACGTTAATCCTGTGCGCCTTTTGCAGCTGAAGCCTGAAGCAGGTATTCGCGTACTCTGGCACCTACCAACCTCCAACCTCCGCACTCACCCCAATTGTCATACTGCAGCTTCTTCTGCGGATCCAGAATATAATCTCCCAACGTTAAAACGCTTTGCTTCAACAAAGACGTCAGTACATTAGCGTTATCCTTAATAAGCGATGGTGTTAGTTCCTCCCATGCCTTAAGCGCTTGTTGCGATAGCAGATAATTACCGCATAGACCGAACGACTGAAAAGATTATGATTTTGTTCCAACACTATATAAAGGAAGATAGTTGCCTTAGCGAAATTTGTCGCTCTAGCTTCTTGATCATATTTATCCACACCGTCAAATTGAGTGCGTGCCAAACCAAGCAAAGCAACAGACAACTGCACACTTTTAGTAATATCTCCACCATACAGCTGACGCGACAATGTATATCTAAAAATATATGCAGCTTTCCTCAAGAAAGCGACAGAGAAGGCTTACTCTAAACTAGATGCCATTTTTTTGCTAATCTGCTCTGCTGGATCTCCCTTTTCAATTGCCGACTCCAATTCAGATACCCATTTATGTGTGCAATTGGCTGTGTTTGGCGTCTCCCAAATTGTGGTTTTGCAAGAACAGTATCTTACAACAATGCCTATAAATTAATACAATTCCTGCAGAGTGTTCATTAGATTTCGCGTAACCGGTACGTTTTATTGGTGTAGCTGTATCATCGTACCCCTGCCAAAGTACCAACCTGGATTCGACTATTAACAATGACAAAATTCAACACCTACACTTATTATGATGCAGTTAATTGGCGTACCTTCGACATTTTCCTGATCTGAACATGGAACTCGTGCTTCCGTGCATGCTCTTGTTTTCGGATAGAATACTCCATTGCGCGTTTCGGCACTACAATATCTCGCTGGCTCAGAGCTATTGCTGACAGATGTTAGGCTGTAATGAAAAATCACAGTTAAGTGTAAATTTTGCTTGCTACGCATTGATGAAAGCTGCTAAGAGTGCAGATACAAACCATTTAGCAAAAACATCAAAAAAATTTTTGTTTTAACGCGACGATTTCTTCATATTTCGAGCTTTTGAACCTACAAAACCGATTTACCAGAAATTCGGCAAATTTCAAATTTGTGTGTTTGCCAACACCTTTGAATAAATCTTAATGGAATAACGAAACTCTGCTTGTAACGTAGAAAATAGTTTTCAAATTCTTTTCCAGTTTTTGCTTACATAGGTTGCTCTGTCTGATGCTAGAGGACCTTGCGAGACGGAATGGGGTTGATTTCCAAAGAAAACCACCATAAATATTTCGCCTGTCTCTTTTCAGCAATTATGTTCTCGCGGTTGCTCCTCGAAGTCACTCACCGAGGTTCGACGCGACGTTTTCACCATGTACAACTTTGACTAATTCTCAATCTTATTAGGAACCCAAACATAATTTGCTGATTAGCGGATGGAGCAAGCATTTCACAATTCACTGTTTTTTTCAGCCGGCGCGGCCTTTTGAAATTAATAGAAGTGGCATTTTGTCGTGACCAAACTCGTTAGTGGGAATCTGAGCCTCAGATGTAACGGTGCTCTCCACTGCGTGATATTTCGGAGGAATTTCAGGCTGTGGTGAAAGCTTCTTGGGGGACGAAATCACCTAACCATCTATGTGTGCATGGCTGTACCCGAAAATTTTAGACATTAACATTACAAAGTTGTGATTGCCCCACTTTGTGACAATAGTACTTGATGATTAAGTTCGGAAACCCTTGTCGAAAACGAATTCGGAACATACAAGCGTACTAAGATCGGCATCTGAAACTTCAAAAAGCGAAAAAATTGAGTCCGTGCTCGCTGTCGCGCTCGGCGGAGAAAGCTGCATGTCGCTGCCGCGTCGCCGATCAAGGTACGCTTGTGTGCTTCAAATTCGTCTTTGAAAACATACAGATCAGATTATCCTCTGAAAGAACCTGCGAAGTTCCAATTTTGTCAAGCATATACTGTTAAAACATTCAAATATGCAAACGCCGTGTTTTTTTTTTGCAGGAAATTCAAAAGAGTAAACCAAAAATTTAAAATTGTCTTTTTTTGTACTTATGTTAGATATAATAAATCTCGATAGCCAACACTCAAAGAAGGCTGAAAATTTATTGTTGTACTTGTACGGAATTATCTATGCCAAAACCAACCCAGTATTGAATTTGGAACATCCAATTTCATTGATCATGTAATAACCCAACATGTTATGAAGAAAGAGAGCAGAAGTGCGTTATGATGATTTTATGGGTCCAAAAAATCTGAAAAGTACCGCAGAGAGTAGCACTTCCCATGAAAAGCACAAGTTCGATGAGGATATCTTTACCTTCGAGTCTTCCACTAGTTCATCTAAACTGACGTAGTAGTCTCTGGATATTTACTCAGATAAAAAAGCAGAGTATGGGGATCACAGTGCAACGAGTAAGTTATTGCTATCATCCACGCACTCAAAGAATTTTTTTTATTATGAGAATAGAAAGACTTTGTCAAATTTGCAAGTAGAATCAAAACTTATCAATGAAAATGCTGCAATTAAATTTACTACTTGGGAAAAATAGGCTTGGCAAAAATTTGATGTAGAATACAGACGTCGCGAAGCAAGGAAAATGAATAACAAAAAAATCAGTAACGAATCACCTTGTAGGTGCATCTGCTGTGGTGGTCGCTGGCGGCACTGTTATCTCACCACTGAGCACAAACGCATACGCAAAAGCCGTGAGTAGTAACACTACCGAAGGCATTTAATAGGTGCCAGGACTATAAGGAACGAAAAAATGCAAACTGAGCACTCGAGTATAGAATTTGAGAATTATGGCGATGTCGTCGCAGTTGGTTATCGCACTGCTGTTGGCAGCGCTGTTGTTAGAAGGCGGTGTAGACTACTTCATAACCGGTTCCAGGTGAATCATTGGCTATCTGATAATTGAAACCTTTTGGCATTCCTCCTATGTCTAAAGTAAGTTTGTGAAAGCGCGGATATTCACCACCTTCCGCCGCCGGAGCGCATTTTTATGAGATTCGTGATTTGTGAACAACTCGATCTATTTTGCACGAATCTCTTCTGAAATAATTACAGGCAGTTCGTGTATTGTTCACAAGGTCACATTCTCTGAGAAAAAACCTGCATTCAAAGGTACATGAACTGTTAACTTATCTTCATCATAAAGTTGTTTGCGGATTGGTCCAAAGCAACATCACAAACTTATGAACCGACCTGATCCAACGAATACGATATTGTAATACGGCTAGTAATTATTCGATATATGCAGTTTTACTTACAGCGGGTGCTCTAACTTAGCTCGGCCTTTTAGAAAGTGACTTGCATGTTCTTAAACAGCTTCAAACGCTGGTTACAAATATGCTACAAATTTCGACCAGTAAGAAGCTCACAACTAGCTTCGGAATGGTGCGCCGCAGCTAAGCATTTGGAATCAGCATCTGATTTAGTATACATATGTCCCTTGCCAAAGGGCCGAGCTAAACTAGGTAGCTTACCTTACTAGAATACTTGACCTGTCCTCGTTAGTCACTCAAGCCCCAAGTTTCAAAATTCGTTAAGGTCTCAGGTAATCGTCGATTCTGCGGTCTGAATATGCGATACGATTGCTGGATGGTACTAAATTGGACTCCAGCTGATGATACAGTTGATTCACACGCACAATTTGGAGCTTTTGAAATTCAGTTATCTGCCTATATACATTTGTTCGTCGTACTGTATTGTGCCACGTAGGCGCAAAAGTGTCCTCAATCGGATTTCCAGACCTCAAGTCGACACTACCTGTTGAGTGCTCTGTATGCTGTCCGCAAGCCCTTCGTGGTTGCTGATGTCGTCTTAGGCTTTAGCAACACAAAGCTGGTCCGAACTTCGCTCATGCCGCTCGGTCTTCTGCTGAGTTCATCCTTCAATTGCAAAAGTTAATGTGCATCCTAAATGAACTGGACGAGATTTCTCACATATTCAATGGTATAATTATGTTATCATTGCGTCACTTGTGCTTCGCAGAGGCACGCACGAGCAATACCGACTATCACGAATAAAATGTTAACAACTACTCATTCCAAAAGCTTTTTTATGTGAGATCCGTGATTTGCATAAATGAAACTTTTCGAAAAGAACACATGCAAATCCAAATAGGTTCCCAAGCTTTTTTGGCGTGGTGGTTGTCATAAAGACAATAAAGACCGCTAGCTACAACTCTGTGCAAAGATCTTCTCAAATGCTCAGGTAAAACTTAGGGAAAATGACCATTTACGCAACCAGTACTTTCTGGCGTCGTTTTCGATAAGCATAGACTTTTGAACACTTTTTCGGACTAAAGTCCTTAGTTTGCACAATATCATGCCAAACACATCCATAACGTTGCGTAAAGGGGAAATACGGACCCAAATTTGCGGCTCACAAGGGAAGGATACTTGCATGCCGTAGCCATTCATAATGATTTGTATACCAAAAAATGCGCTTTTGAATGCTGGTTCGTAGACTGTCTTTCATATCTGCGAAACGATAATCTGAATGGAGTTATGATTTTTTTCATCAAAAAAATTGCGTTCCTGCGGAAGGTTAAAATCGTCAATAAAAAAATCTTTTCTCCTTTCCAAATGCTGAGTATGATCCAGATAGTCTAAATAAATATTACTACTTCTAAAATTTTCTTCAGTAGCATCAAGCGGTAGGCTAGATCAAATCTGGTGATTTTTACTATCCAAAAGTAGGCTAAATTTTCAAGGAAAAAAGTTCATAACTTTCTTCAAAAGATCGTTTCGCAGATTTCGAGCACAGATTCAGAATCTGCATTCGAAGGCGCATTTTTTGGTGTACAAATCATTAGGAATGGCCGCGGCATCCAACTATCCTTCCCTTGTCAGAAGCCAAGCGGATTCGTTTGGCGCGCAGTTTCTGAGGGATCCACTCAACGAATTTGCTCGTGCTTTTGTATGCCGGTCTTTCATGCCGGTGGCATGCGCGGTGCAAAATTTGAGCTTAGCAGGTTAGCTGGAAAACGCTCTACGAATTTCGTAACAGACACACTCACACGCACACTCAGAAACAGGTGCAACTTTAGCCCGTTATTATAAGTTATGATTCTTACTGCCCGATGTTTCTAATAAACTGTGTTCTTTCTTGTCCTGGAACCTATCCTTCTCCCGCTTTGATCATGTCCGTCATATCTTCAGCTATGCTGATGGACGACCTCGAAAAGAAAACTTTATCATTAGCGAAAGGAGGCTTTCTTCTCGTCTAAATACGCATAATCGGGCTCCCTTTCTCTTCGCAATCGGACGACTGCATACACCATGGCGCGCGGGAATTGCAGCTCTATCAGTGGTCGAAGCTGTATCATACCGATGCATCCTTAACTAGAAGTCTGCTACTAGTTTATATAGTTTGGAGCCCATGCCGGTTGATCAAAGCTCTCAAAATAGTGTTGATTTCCACATTAGCACGGCCTTTTCGTAATCGATGAAGGTGGGACGGGGCTAACAGGTATGTGCGACGACAGATACTCTTGAAGGCTTTGGGTCGGCAAAATGGAACCCTGTCAGACTTTTTTACCGTTAAATAGTAGATGCCTCAACTACTCCATAGCCCCAGAAGCCCCAATCTCGCCCTTCAATGTATGCACTAAGTCCTGAAGATGAGCTACGCCACGCACCCTTTTCTAATAGGGCTTATGGGCTCTCAAAAATTCTGAGAAGCACCCCAAAAAGTTTTTGGAATGCGTGGCTAACGCTACGCACTTTTATCTGAAAAAAATTTCCTTCCCCCCTGGACGGAGATCCTGAACATCACTAAAACGTACATGCCAATACATATAGGGCAGATAGCGCATGCGAAGACTGGTCACATCTGGGTTTGGTTAAGACGGTACGTGGCAGCACGGAAGAGGCAGCAGACAGTTGAAAAAATGAAAGTGCGTTTGATCAAATGACGGCGACAGCGTCCGCAGTGTGCCGTATATCGACATATAGACATACCAACAAACAGTAATATCCTTAAGCCTGTGTGTGTTTCAGAGCCACAAAAAGTGGAAAAGATTTGTGATTTCAACAGATAGTTACTACTTGCTGCCAGTAAATTCTCATGAACAACGTCTTTTAACAAGACTCGATAGGAGAACGAGCGCGGTAATATTCATGCAAACTTCATCGAAACCACTGAGCAATGTTTTTGCGACTTTTTACTTTCGCATAAAAACTAGCGAAAATACTTGGCTGAGCTTATCGGGTTGTGGTAACGTGGATTACGCGGCATCTAATAGTAGCGGCTAGTTGTTCCCCTTCTGAGTCGTGTCGCGAGAGTAAGATGAATCGGCAGTGGACGCACTTGCTCGCACAACATCTCCGACTATATGGCGAACGAGGTGCTGACGTGCTCCGCGCTCATGCAGATTGTGTTGCAAGTTTCAGTCAGTTTTTGTTCCAATTTAGAGCAAAATTCAAGGCCATTTTTGAATGAAATTGAATTGAACGTAGTATTCGTACCTGAAACGGACAATTTCCTCATCTTTCTATGTGTTGCGAGTTACGCATTTTTATGTATAAAACTGAATGTCAGTCTTTTATGTTCGGATGTTTCAAATAAATCATTTTTGATTTTTCATCATTAACATTGCAAAATCTGCCTACCGTGCGTATATCCAAACGTATCCAAACGGGTGCCTCTGTATTCCAGAAGATGCGCGTCTTGGTGCTGAATCGATTGATGCCTATACTTGAGACTTCATCCCTTTGAAGCGAGATACGATCACAACAAACTCAAATGACTGTCGCGTCTTTTTGCAAAAATAACAAGCGGTATTCCATCTCTCTTAGTTTAATTATGACATTGGCTGAGGTTGCGAAACCAGCATCTGATTGCTTTTCACCGTTGGAATTAACCACAGGGAATTCGAATGTGTTTAATGTCTTAGTATAATTAAGACCTTTATCAACAAGTTCTTTTACCCATTCATTAAATTTGCTTTCAGATTTTTTTAGTCTTTGTTATAATGGCTGCCGACAAATTTTTATATAATTTTTTTCACAAGTTTCATGAAATTATCTTTTCATATTGAACAGGGAAAAGAACACGAAGAATTTTTTGCTTGCAAGTAAGCCTGATAAATACGAGGAAGTTGACTTTCCTGAGGCAATCTTATTATCTCCTCTTTCTTTTCGTCACGTCGTCTACAGATCTTCGGCAATTCCACCATTGCCGTTCCTCCAAGTTTCTCTTAAAGCGTTCCACCCAAGTTCTGTCAGCGAGTTCCATTTTGACCAAATACAGCATTGGGTTGTCTTGCCGTCCACTAGATATGGCACTTAAGCATTTATACAAGATGGGCAGTAGAATTGCACTTGCTTCATACAGCGTGCAGATATATTCCGTTACTCAGCTAATCGAAAAAAATCGAAGCTTCCTTCAAGTGGCGATATCCAATAAGTTCAATAATAAGGGCTTTTTGTGACAAAAGTATCCTTTCTTTCAGTAACCCGAGAAGGTTCGCAAGGTTACCTCTTTTTCAATAATTTTTCAAAATTGAGTCTAGCGTGAGATCTGCCACAGTGGGATTGAACTTTGTCTTGTTGACAAATGGCACTTGTACAGATCGGAGAAAATGTGAAGAAGTTGAATCAGAAGATATATGAATTCGTAAAGGGATGTGAAGAGACGAGTTAGCTTTCAATAGATCAAGGTAGTGATTCAAGTTTTAAGAAACTGGCACAGGAGTATCCGTACACAAACCAATTTCGTACCAAAACAGAAGTTACAGTGTGTCCAAAAGATGTATGTTTGATAGCCTACTTTCGTCTGCTTTCGCGGACATTTGGAAGTGCTGTAGGACTAGCCTCAACTTAGATGCAGT